TAACTTGGTCTGAAATGGTTTCCAACTTAACTGCACACAAGAGTAATCCCAATCTTTTCTTCTAAATCTTGGTTTGAGGGACAATAAGCGTATTTAGAACTATTTCCTTTAAGTGAATAATTAATTCTCAAGTGTTTATGTAGATTTTTTTTCTGTCCCAACCAATCAATGAGTGTTTTCAGCAACAAAAATGGGGCAGTGACAAAATAAAAGGCCACAGTGTAATAAGTCAACAATTCCTTTTTATTTTATCATGTTTATATTTTGGTTCTGTAGCAACCTACTGGATAACTCTAATGAAGTGAAATTGTACTCAAGCCGGTTACAGTTGAGAGCAATGACAGGCACACGTTTTGTGCAAATTTAACAGCATCGGAACGGCTCCTACATATACACAGCAAAAATACATGCCAGAGGAAAACAATACTTAATCAGTTTACATTGACAATAGTTAGGAAGACTTCCCCACAAAAACAATGTCTAGCCAAGCTAACACTTGAGATACACATTTCGCCCGTTGTTGGATTATGGGAGAGAAAAACTGAGTAAACATTCAGTCTTCACGCACAGCGAGAAACGTGTGGTGTTATCCAACTCCGTAGATTAAATCCCTCCAATCTGTCATACCAAAGAACACATTTAATCAGAATCCAAACATTGTGCATTGCCATTTCAAACTAATTATACTGACATGATAAAATGAAAACTCTAAATCAATGCGCTAGACAAGAGATACGCCTGCTTGCAGTTGCTTTAAGAAGTCCCAACTCCACCGAATGCTTTGTCTTTTCTGCATTTCTGGCAGTACACTGGCAATGCAAACAATAAAAAGGTTGGGGGTAATGCAACTTGAAGGTATCACAAGCCACACAACACGACACAACCATCTGAAACACAGGGGTGTTGGTAGCCTTGGTAGAGTTGACTGCAGATGTTTTTTTGTTTTTTTTTTATCTAAATCACCATCCTAATGCTGCTTAATAGCAATTACTGGGACAAGACACACATAGCCTCAGTCCAATATCTACATACTCAAAAGTTAAATAAATTATTTAGCTGCAAGATGAGATTTTATTTGTGTTTGATAACAGTTAAAAGAAATGATCCTCCTCCAAACATGCATAAACACAGGATTATAAGACTGAAATATAGGTAGGTGAGTTGGGAGATTTTGGTAACCAGTCTGTAGTGTTTAACTCGGACATTACAGGCTAAGGTCTGTGTGTGTGAATGTTAGCTCTGTTTGTTCTATCGTCCTTCACAGTGTAATTGTAAGAGCTAACAAACTAAACGTCCCCGGAAATGCTTGCACTGGCGTGTGTTGGTTCCAAAATATCAAGTGTGTTGGATGTTGTGACCTCTTTTTTTTCTTCCAAAAAGCGGCTGCTAACATTTCACATCTGTTGGGGATTTTATTTGAAATCTAAATTGAAAACGTTAAGTTTTGTATTTGCACCTACAGCCAACATAACGCATTTAAATTAAGTAAGATAGCAGTGATAAAGTGAACTCATGCTGTATGTTCTCCTGGAGACCACAGGAGGCTGTGAAGTAACCCATTTGACTATTTTGCCCCATTAACCAACTTCTTTTCACGAGCTCACGTTTAAGTCTCGATAATGAATTGTTAAACTGGTGCACGCAGTATGATTTTACCCTCTACACCAACAGATGGAGTCTCATAACAGGGCCTGGCAATGCGACTTGTGAAGGAAAGCAGATGCACCACTACATTCTACAGCTTTCCTTTACTATACAATCAAGGGCCACGTTGAAATCTTTTACAACCTAGAATTTAAACAGCATTAAAAAAACTACTTCAGTTGCGCTCAAATGAAAAGTAAACTTACTGTAACATACATATTAAATAGTGTATAGTCCATGCAGTTGCGCACGGCCGGTTTTGCATCATTATGGTATGTCGTTATTAGTGTATGGGAGACATCAGCCACCAGTGCATTTCCGATTTAGGTTCAGGGAGAAGAACTCCACAATACCCATCAGAAACATCTCAGCCAGACTTGAAGAGCAATATGGCCACTTGGCCCAAGTAGAAGTAAATGAAATGCTTTGTCTCGTGGGTGACGTAGCTGCCGAAGTTCCTCCCGACGATGCAGTGCCAGGTGGGGTTATACTTCTTATCAAATTCCTGAAAAAGTTCAAAAGAAGATTAGTGAGCGCCAAATCAATATGCATATCCAACGGCTGCCATCTACAAACCCTGGCTTACATATCACTACGAAGACCTCAGCTACATATTTCAGGTATAATATGTCCCAGAGCCCACGGTGAAGTCTCCCAACTGCTTGTTTTATTCAACCAACCCAAAGATTGTATTAAGTTTACTATCATATATGACAAAAAGAAGCATCAAATCCTCACATTTGAGAAGCTGGAACCAGCAGACATTTGGTATTTTGATTAGAAAATGACTTCAATGATTATTCAATTATCAAAAAAAGTTGATGATATTTTGTTCATTAACTAACAAATTCATTCCTTGATCATTTCAGCTCTACTCCATATGAGTTTGAGTGCTATTACTTTTAGGCAATAAATAAATAAGATACATTTGTATCCCAGGGGAAATTGCTAATTAAAAAGGATCCCAAAGACTTTTTTTTTTTTACAAATTTTCTTGATTAAGATGTTTTTAAATCTATTATTTGATTTTTTTGCTTTTATAATCCAATTCAATCATTTTTATATTTTGGGTGCATTTGTCTGCAATTGTTTTACATTGATATTTGTCTTATTTGAGTGTCAGTCACATGTAAAGCACTTTGGCTAGCATTATGTATTAAAAGGTGCTATACAAATATTGTTTTATTGGCTAACTGAGACCCTTATGTTGCTGAGAAATCAGTGTACATAAAACAATGTGGAGATCTCTTTTGGTAAACATTTTGTAAACATGGTTTTTGGGTGTGGGTGTGGGGGCTGTGGACTCTTGACCTCAGTAGGCCTAATAAAAACAATCCTGGCGGCCCTGAACATAAGAGCCTCTTCTCCACACTGACCAAAAATAGATATGAGAATAAAAAAGGCTCTGAATTTGCAGATCATGTGCCAGTGATGTAAGCTCGCAGAGCTCCACTTGGATCCATCCCCGCGCCCGTCCTGTCTCACCTTCTTGATGTAGGCTGCGATGTCCTTCTCTATGTTGTACTTCTCCATGGCCTGGGTGGCACAGTCCACCGCGTCTTGCTGCATGTCCTCGGACATGTCCGCGTTCTTGATCACAGCTTTCCTGTCAGTCATGGCTCAGGATGGTGATGATGCCTGCTGAGGAAGAAAAAAAGGAGCACGTTCACTCAGACGTACTGCACTGAAAATTAACACCGCACGTGGTGATGGGGATGGTTTAGGCCAGCCGGATCATCGCAAAACATCAATCATACGCAGAAGATTGTCCGTTTGGCACCGCGTTTTTACATCGTTTGCACTGATTCATAAGCACAACTTGCGCTCGTGTATTTCCATCTATATTCTTAACTGCACGATGACTTGAGCGTTGCATAGATTGGCTGCGAAACTTGATACAGGTGGAGTTAAATTACTTGGCAAAATCACTTTCCGATAAAAGCAGCAGCTGCATCGGGAAACAAAAAGTATCAAAATGTATGTAGGTAATGATCTGCTCTGGGCACAATACGCCTGCTGTTATCCTTGCAAATACAGTCTACATGTCTAATCAGTCGAAATGAATTAACACATACAGTAAAAGCTCACCACCACAAGAGAAACTCGAATCAGAAATATTGTCAAGACATGCAAGTCAATCTTTTCAGGAAAATCTGCAACTCACCTTTTCTTGAGCCGCCTGAAAACACTTCTTTCCCCCCTAAAAAAATATGTATTTCACCCAGTCAAGGGGGGAGAGGGGGTAAGGTTTTAGATGATGCTGCAGCTAATTGCTTTTTAAAGATTTACACAATAAGCATGTAGGTAGGCTGGCTCTCTGCTGTGCTGCTCCGACAGCTCCCCGCCCCTCTGCTGCATGCCGCACGCTGCCATTGGCTGAGCCGCAGCCTCCCCGCGTGTTGCAAGCGTTTTTCTCCAGCTCCTGTCTGCCAGCATCTTATTTCATCCCACAATGCATCATTCACAGTATACACCACCGACTGTGGGCTAAAAGGAAACGAGACCTTGGTTGTGGGCAGGTATCATTTGGCTGTGTACAGGGGTTTTTAAACAGTCCCCGTCACAGCTGACACACACTGGAGCTGTGAACACTGAACATATGCAGTTGTATTATGTTGGAGTATATTTTCTGTCATATCTACAGCTGAACCATGGCTTTTATAGACCAATAACAGCCTTATTTTTTGCTCTACTGGCTTCTTTACAAATATGATTTATAATAACTCGTAAATCCACATAGCAGTATGTACTGGGCTATAGGTTTAGTTACACAAAAGGAAACAATGTTTATAATAATTTATAAAAGCATCAGTCATGTGAAATAACAACAAACCAAGTGTCCTTGTTTGAAAATGTTTTATTGAAAATGCTAAGAGAAAAAAAAAAGTCAGATTAAGCATAATAAAATAAAACATACAAACTACTCCCACATGAAACCCCCTCCCAACCTCCCAAATTTATAATTCCTTCATACCAGGCATCTACGACTCCATCCTTTGATCCAACTTCCTGGTCCTCAGTTTCGTTTTCTTGTAAAATAAAGCCATTACCACTGAAAAACTTTAAATAGGCATGGAGGGGCCTAATAGGGGGAAAAAAAGTTGCTCTGGGACTCCCGTTAATTAGTTCTGAATTCAACTCATTTGAATCCTGGAAAACTGATCCCGTTCCGAGCATCCATCCTTGCCTATCCCTTCCCTAATCGATCCACTCATCCAGCTCCAAGGATTGGGATCCACTGAGCCACTCCTCCAATCAAAACCTTGAAATACCAGGAAGAAAATCAGAGGCAAACTGTTAGAATAAAATGTCAAGATTTTTGGGCCTAACTTTTCCATTTTGAGCACTCATGTCAGAAAAAAAAGAAAAAAAAAAAAAACAGAATGCCACTGAGCACAAAAACTATCACTCCCTGAAGTTAAACATTTTAACCAATGAGGACATTTAAGTAAAAAGTGGGACGCTTTTGCAACAAAGTAGTGACTCAGATTTCTTACATTTGACAGCAAAGATGTTACACTTACATCACAACACTTGATCTAGGACTGCATATTCTGTCACAAGCCAGAGTAGCAAGTTAAAAATTTTATCTATAACAAAGTACAGCACATATGGCTTTGTTAAATATGACATGCATGATATGGAAACCTATCAAAACGTTCAATTTATGGAATATGAAGCGTACCATTGCCTCGACCTGATTGCTCCTCAATTAGATGTCCTATCCTGACCATACAAATGAAATGTGCTCCACAATGGTTTTATTCCAAATCACTTTAATCCTTCGCTTCAGATGTCTAAAGGAAGACACAAGGGTAAAATACAGTTAAGCATCGGGCTACCCGTCCAAACAGCCCACCCACATAACCAATGAGAGAAGCTTTTAAAAAACGAAAAAAACAAAACAAAAACAAAACTCAATTTTCCCACACTTGCAAAAACATTGAGTGCAGGTTATAACAACTCAACATTTTTGAAGTTCGACACGGCACAATTTCTATTGTTGCAAAAATTGAGAGGACAGAAAGAAGGAGAGAGAGGGAGAAAACAACAAAAAAAAGGGCAAAGCAGTGGAGAGGGTGGGGGAAAAGGGTGAAGGAGGGGAGAGGGGTACATCTACATACCAAGATCATCCACAAGGACATCGGGACATGAAATGCGAAAATTAAAAATCAATTGCTGACATCTGGAGAAACTCATAAGAGGTAAAAACAGGAGGGTATACATCAAAAGGGCAAAACATCGGTGGTAGAAAGGTTTAGGAACGGGAGCGAGAGCGGCTGTGACGAGGCGAGTAGCGGGGCGATCCTCTGCCACGACCACGGGAATTGCTGCGGCTGCGGCTGGCGCTGCGACTGCGGCTCCTGCTCCGGCTGCCACGGCTTCGGGAGCGTGATCTTCCGTAACTTGGGCTGCGGGGACCGTCTAATTTCACACGAATGTAAGCAGTCTCACCCTGGCGGACACAAGAGAACTTGACATTGAAAAGACAACATTCCTTGCTATGGTGGAAATGCCCTAGATAGAAACGAGGGCCAGGTGTGCTCAGTTACTCACCTCGACACAGCAAAGAAACATTATCCATGACAGTCAATCAAATCAGTACACATACCTCATGTGAGCGGAATTTGGTGTTGTCCAGCTTTCGAACAGCATAGGTCATGTCTTCTTTGCGCACAAATTCTACAACTCCGGTTCCATCTCTGAAAACATCAGCGTAGCACACGTCGCCTGCTTCACGCATGTGGTCCTTCAGGTCTTGCCAGCTGCCGCTCTGAGGAAGTCCTGAAACACATGACCCCAGTTATGTTAGTAATGTAGATGTGGTGAACCAGCTTTGTTGAATGTTGGGAAAAAAAAGTCAACATTTGTTGGAGCTACACAACTAATGTGTTTCCCAAATTGTAGCTGTAGGACTAAGTGATACTGGAGCTTTTAATTGTTGAGGTCCAATACAGGTACAAGTAGAGATGTAAACTGGTTTAGTGTGAAGACAGTAAAATAATTTAACACAAATCTTGTGTGTGCATGATTAATAACTCATTCATTATGATGTAAGGACACACTGGTTTATATAAGCAGTAATATTTATTTTTGAAAATAAATAAAAGACCAAAATAACAATTTGTTGCCACTTCTATCCCACTCATAATATCCTATTCCTTTACACATTTCAGTGGTTTCCTGCATAAACTCCCAGCCAAATCCAGTTTCAATACATGCATCCAATTTAGCTGGACTACTTCCATTTGTCCAAAGTAACTGTGATGGTCTAAACGAACCGTGACCCAAGCGTTTAAAAAAATAAAAATAAAATCCTTAATGTATATTTGCATGCATGATCCATCATCTAAAATATATTACAGTCCTCTATGTGGGGCTCCCCAAACACAACACAACAAACCGGAGCTCAAAACTTTGTTCCAAGTTAATCAACTCTCAAAGATACACAAGAAAGACGTGTACAGCAAAACACTACTTAAGCCAGCAGCCCAGGGTTTAGGCATCTATAACAACCTTCCTGTTTAACAACCAAATAAGAGCCTGACAAGTTTGCATACTTACCCGAAACAATGACCCTGTACTCGGAGCGCCTGGACGGGGGCCCATATCTGCCTCTGGGAGCTCCACCGATCCCACCGAAGCCGCCTCTTGAGCCCCTGCCGCTCCGAGGAAACTCCACACGCAGTCTATAGCCGTCGTAGTCATAACCATCACGCCCATAGACTGCATCATCGGCGTCTCTGTTAACACCACGGCACAATTTTAACATTAACACACGAAGGGCAGCGATTTGTGACACACATGCAGAGAAAGGGCAGTCACGGACGGCGTCAGCCATGTTAGCGGGTATCTTGCATCTGGTTTAACGTTACGTTTGGTTAATCCGCCTTGCAGACGTGTACGCAAGATGAGTAACGTTATCTTGCCTTCAATTTGTTTACAGAGAAGCATAATTTGTTTCTAGTCCCACTAACAAGCCTAATCGCTGTGTGAGTGCAGTGAGTTAACGTATTTATACAAGGCAGAGCAGGTGTTGAGTAACAGTTACGTGGACATAACGTTACAATTATTACCGCAGTGCAAGCACAAAAGCATTATCTTTTTTTACGTGCATGAGTTAAAACCTGTATTATGAGGAACAAGCAAAAGCGAAAGCGAAAGACCACGCGCCACGTTTCGTTAAGACAACAAGGTATATGGACTCCAGTAAATAGTCTGAGCCCGCGGATAGTATTGAAGCACACGAGTTGGTTAGCTACACAATGGGGCTGCCTCTGGCCTAGCTAGCTAGCTAACCGTTAGCTCCTCACCTGGGGTCTTCGAATTCAATGAAGGCGAAAGGCGGCCCCCCTCTCCGGTTCTTCAGGTCGATATCTCGAATTGTCCCGTATTTGTAGAACACATCTTCGACGTCCTTTGTGCGAATGTCAGGAGGAAGGTTTCCCACATAAATTCGGCAGTCGTTGTTCCCAGCAGGGCCTCGCACAACACCCGACATCGCAGCTAACAGATAGCGCGCTTCTTGAGTTAACGTTTGTTTGCAAGATCCTAAACGGCTGGCGGAGCCACACCGAGATTACACTCCAAAAGCCTTACAAATCGTCGATCAGACAGGAGAAATCAATCAAATACGCGCCGTTTCCCTCTGCAATCTGCAGGATATTTATTGGGTAGGCAGACACTGGATGAAGCGCCCTCTGCTCCTATTTTACTTCAGGAACCGCGCTCCTTTACCGAGGTATTCATGAATACAGGAAACGCTGCAGCCGGAGCTGACGCATCCGCCTCACAAAATAGTCCGGCAATTCACCAGGTGTAGTGATAATAAATCATCTCTTTGGTAGTAACAACGTATTAACATGTTTATCAGACTGATGTAATGATATATTGTAACTATGTAACTATTATGTATTGGTTTATTAACAGGTACAGGGCACATTAATAAACATGGCGCTGAATGTACCAAAATGTTAGCTATATGTTTCATCTGGAGTCCCTGGGCCATAGCCCCGGGCAAATGCTGCTGAAGGAAACATAACAGGCCAAACGCAAAAAATACGTGTTTTCAGAAAAGGTTCAAGTTTTGTTAAAATATAATGTTAATGTTCAAATATCACATGTTAATATACACATAATTTATGTTGGTGGGCAACGTTATATCTCTCAACGATGAAAACTGGTTAAAACATCCCAGGTAAAGCAGGTCAATAAAAACTTCAGAATCAGTTTTATTCGCCAGGTATGTGTACACATAGGAGGAATCTGACTTTGCATTGCACATTGCTCAGACACAGGCTACAGTATAGAGAACACAAATATACACACTATAAACAGAAACAAAAACAATATAGACATACTGAAAAATAGCAGTGAGCAGAGTGCAATGGATCCAAGAGTAAAATTATTATTATCATTAATTATGTACATGTTGGAGGTGCATGCATACATGTTCACATGTGCGATGGAGCATAGTGCGAAGGATGCTGGAATAAATAAGTAAGTATTTTGTGCAAGTGTTATGAACTTGAGGTAGGTGGGTGCACAGGAATTGTTCTGATACTGTGTGTCAGAAGTCAGCTGTTCATCAAACTTGGAATATTGTGTCATCACCAATCACCTTGATTGACCTGAGTCCAGCAGAAATATGTGGAAATAGATTGGAAGAGTTGCACCTAAAAATGTAACCTGTAGTTCTGAAAATAGCCTACATACAATGTTTAATTACACATTTTGATCTGGTACATGAAATTGAGACTGTTTCTGTCTTTCATTTCACAATTGTTCTGTGAATAAATTTGATAATTCAGCAGGTTTTCTAAAGTGGTAAGAAGGAAATCTGTTGAAAAGAACAACATTTTATTCTCCTTAAATATACTGTTTATTTTCATTGAAACTGATGCTAACCTTAATTACAGGTTATAATCAGTCCAGGAAAAAAAATAAAAGATTATATTTATATATGGAAAATATTATTGTGTGTGTGTATGTGCAAGTGTTGCATTGATGGTGTTTTTTTTTGCAAAATAGCAACCTGAACTATTCCATATAGTTTATGCAGTGTAAAATAAAAATTATTGTATATATATGTATATGTATAGACCCCTTTATCACAGTAGGTGTCCCAGGTATTTTATTCATAAGTTATTGTTCTATACCAGACATTATAGCAAATTCATTGTGGATCATTTAACGTAACATGTCAACAAAGCCAAGTCAGCATTGTTAGTGTTAAGACTACACAGACTATGAGATTAAAATGCAAAAACTGTCCCAGAATATCTGAATTTGAAATTTTCAAGTGATTTATTGTTCCACACACTGCAGACAAGGGAGCAATTAGGATAGGAAAAGTCAAGTTTGCTGTGTGAAATGCCACTTTTAGTCTAAATTAATCATACAGTATTGCCATTATCACATGCTCAAATATGTGAAAAAATTACATGTGATAATGTGACCATTTTTGTGGAGTGTTAGAGGAATAATATATGCAATACTATATTTGCAATACTTTTGAAAGTTAAATTGTTGGTGGGCATTGGGTTACACTACTACATCTAGTGTTAATGTTTCTTATATAGGAAACAGTATTCATGTGAGTCAGTATGTGACTCACTGTCGTTTGGCCGAAGACATCACATAACTTTGTTTAACATGAAACAAAATGTCCACACCAGACTTAACCTAACAACTGTTTTATTATTTTAAGGCTTAACATTTGAACTATGTTTATCAGACTATTAGAGAATATTATTCAGAATGATGACACACACAAAATCACATTGTGCTGCAAGTCACTGTTGTGCTGATTGTGCTTTCTGCCTAGAGATTGCACATGCAAATTAGCTTGAAGCTAATTCTGGTGCAATATTTCGAAATGTGCATGGTCACTAATAAACCTAAACTACACACTCACACACAGATAAGCTTTGCACAACTTTAAGATACTTCCATGCAATAGGCTGGGAATTGTGCGTGTTTAATTAACTTTGCTGTGATACAAACTAACTTCATTGCTCTGGAGCCAAACTTCAATTTATGTACAGCACATGGCAAGTTAGTATGTGTGATATTAAGTAATACATGCAGGATTTTAAATCTGTAGTTCCAAGAGCATACTGCAAATCCACAACAAAAGTAAAGCAAATATCTTTCATTCAATACATGCATTGATAATATGCAAGGTCATGTTCTGATTGTCCTCATCTGTCAAGGCAAGAAAACACGCTGTCACTTGTTTTCATGTAACATCATCATGAGTGTCAGAATTCTGAAATGACCTAATAATCTACATTACAATTCCTCCTTGTTATGGTAATGGTAGGAAAACAATGCTAATTGAAATGGGGCTTCTCAAACTGCTCAGTATGCATGACAGGACCCATAGCTGCGCTGGCCAGCCTCGCCATAGTTATCACCCCCAGTGTACTTCCCCTGACATGCCAGACTGTTCGCCTGTGGACAGAGAAGACATTAAACAAGCGAACAAAAACCGGTTAGTGGTAAAGTGAAGGATAAGATCATACGGTTTATCTGTAGAAAATAAAGTTGGACATGCCTCTGCTCTCTTGATGAACTGCTCGTGGCAACTTTCTCGTTCTCTTTATGTCCTCTCCAGGCTCTGAGCGCAGACGCCTGCAGGGCTCGGCCAAAGGAGAATGTTAGGACCCAGGGTTTGGGCAGAGGGCAGTTGTTAATGGCATTCAGGTGGACAGAGGCCTCCTCTTCACTCTGACCACCTGAGAGAAAAGCCACTCCTGTGGGGAACAGAACATATAATTTCACTTTCATTTTGTTTCTGCAAAACTTCATACGCATGCGTGCAAAATTCTCTTCAGACATGTCTTGCTTACCAGTGACCGCTGGGGGAACAGTGCGGCGCAAGGCGGTCAGAGTTGCCATGGCAACCTCCTCCGGGCTGTACTTGGTGGGGCAGCTATGACCAGCAGTGACCATGTTGGGTTTGAGGAGAGTCCCTTCCAGGTACACATGGTGGTCCGACATGGCCTTGTACACTGCGGCCAGGACCTGCAATACACCAAAGAGACAGTGGTTTGGTAAATTCTCCCTTCTTCTCTGTCTCACTTCTTACTCTTCTATTAACAATGTCACACTCCCATGCTCATGCATTATGTAAGAAAAAAGAAACCCCACCTTCTCAGTGACATACTGGCTGCGTTTTAGGTCATGATCTCCATCAGGCAAAATCTCTGGCTCTATGATGGGCACGATGCCGTGCTGGCCGAGAAAGGACAGATTAACAGAACAGTACAGATGATTTATATCACAAAGATGTGTAGACAAGCTATTGCTAGATAGTACTTCATTCTGACCTGCTGGCAGATACTGGAGTAGCGTGAAAGAACATTTGCATTTTCTGTGATAGCCAGTTTAGATGGATTGCTGTCACTGATTTTGAGCACACAGCGCCACTTTGCAAAGACGGCTCCGTCCTTTTTATACTGCGCACAGCGCTCTGACAGTCCGTCTAGACCTATGGAAGAGGTTCAAAACAGATTTATCAATTGTCTTCTAACATGCGTTCCTGTTGGTGTTATGAGTAATGTCAGAAGTTAAATAAACCAATGTTGTTTTTGTCTGACCCTGTGTGGTGGTTTCTCCACTGGTTCCTGCCAGGGGGACAACACCCTTGTCAACCTGTAAAGAATAGAGAAGGGATAATCATGTTCAATACCAGACCGGAATGCATTGCCATAATAATACATATCTGATCAAAAAACCAATTGGTATTTGGAACTAAACTGCCACACCTTGATGCCGACCAGAATACCCCTGTCCCTAATCATTTTGACAAAGGGTACACCGTTATCAGAGTGCTGGTACAGCGTCTCATGGAAGAAGATGACCCCTCCAATGCAGCCATTGACGCGGTCGTCTGCACTGAAGAGAATCTGCCGGTACTGTCTACGGTTCTCCTCTGTGTTCTCCACTCCCACCTGGGCCAGCCGCTTAGCCATGCTGCCTGTAATTAAGATGTGTGATGCGAAATGTGAAAAACATCCACACTATGCTCTCTTTGGACCGGATGGTCTTTATCAGTATGTATGTGATTGTTTCAGAGCAAAATTAATGGCATACATGTTTCCCACAGTTTAAAGAAAAGAAGGAGGCAGTGCTACAGACCCACAGACTCATCTGCAGCCAGGATGCCCTTCCCTGGAGAAACTATGCGTAGAGCAGTCTCATGTAGTTCCCTCTTCTGCGCCTCGGAGAGTGAAGGGAACTGGTGCGTCATCTTGACTGATTGTCCTACAGCCTCTGGTAGAAGATGTGTGTTAGGATTGTATTATTCACACACTGCCAACAACAAAAAAACCCCAATATTATCCACCCGTGAAGTTTGTTAAGACATCCATACTTACATTAAGCAGACGCTTTTATCTAAAGCAACTTACAATTGCTATATATATAGCAGAGGTCACATGCCTCTGGCGCAACTACGGGTTAACTGTCTGCTGAGGCACACATTAGCGGTTGTGTTACAGTGGGGAACTGAACCCGGGTCTCTCACACCAAAGACGTGTCTTATCCACTGCTCCATCACCACCCCATCAAGTGTTTGATAAATGGTCTGTTTTTGTATAGTGCCTTTCTAGTTTTCCAGCCACTCAAAACGCTTTACACTACAAGACACATTCACCCTCACACACTGATGAGCAATTTGAGGTTCAGTATATCAACATTGCACACTTTGACATGCAGACTGGATGAGAACCAATGATCTTCTGATTATTGGACAACCTGCTCTACCTCCTGAACCGCAGCTAATCATATGCAAGTATGGTAGTATGCCAGCCAACTATAAAACACAAGTCCACAATTATTTAACAATGCTAATTTGATTGACTGACAATGATTCATTACTTTAACTTACTATGATTGCAGGTAATAGGAATTAATCCAGTCACAATTAACCAAATATCACCAAAAATATAAAGGAAAGATAAGATCTTTTTTCTTTATTTTTATCTCCAGGGGTGAAATTCACATGTTAGAGTAAACATGAAGGTCTGTATAAATGAACAGTTAATAGCTTGATACAGGTGCATTTAGATTTACCGACTAAAGTCAGTGAACCCTTAATTAAAAATTAAAAAGGCAGTTGAGGAAAGCCAACAGAATGAGATGAGCAGTAAAGGTTCTTACCTGACAGAAAGTGAAATCAAATGTGTCTTGTCCACTGATGTGATGAACACTGGCGGAGACTCTCAGTCAGCTCTAGTTTGTATCCAGTTCAAGTGTGTCACACCTCATAAGCCAACACCCCTGGGCGGTGCTTGTAGACCCACCTCTGCCCCAAATAACTTAGAAGATTTTTGATGAATCATTGTTCTATTTAAGTAAAGAAGATTATTTTTTCATGCAGCTGCTTGCTTTTCATGCTGATATGTATGTAGTGTTGTAGATATGGCCACTTAAGCACTTTGCAATGAATAACTCAATCTAGTACTTCTAAAGGTGCAGTGTTCATCTAATTGGATGTCCATATCCAAAATTATTTTACTAAAATTTTACATACATGCTGTAGTGTTTTAACTCAACCATTTTGGGTCCCCTTCCATATTCAGCCAGATTATGAACAAATTAATATACATATATATATATATACATGAATAAATCACGTATTCTCTCAGCACCCTCTACCCCTATAGCAACCTAATTTAAGCGTTTAACCATACCCCATGGCGTGCTATTTTTATTTTAATTAGTAAAAATGTGCCCAGAGGAAGGTTTCAAGTCTCCTGATAATTTGGTCTTCACCCTCGAATTCACAGGGGTGTTTTTAGTCTCAGAGCAATTCATGCACTCAGTGGCTTCTTCTTGTGAGTTTTAAACTGTAAAGAATATGATGGAATGTTTCAGAAATAGAAATCATTTCCAGGTTCCAGTCAATGTAAATGATATGGTAATATGGCCCAGATTAGATCAAAATGAGGCCAGCTAAATCATTTCAAGACTGTTCAACTATTTCCCCCCTCTTTGGATCATGCACATGTTACACAGGCTTCTATTTGAAAGCTTGCATTTGTGTTGATTTGTTTTATTGTATTTGCTGTATGATACCATGTTTGTTTTAAAATGCTAGCACAAAAACATTAAATGCGAGCTGAAACGGCTCATCTCTATCTTTCGAATTTAGTTGTGATTAGCTGAGGGTGAATTATGTTGCATCGCTGCAGCTCTGTTCAGGAAGCTGCGTGTTTGTCTGTGTGTTCTTTTATATAATGTTACTATTTGCTGAGACTCAGTGGGACGGCTTGTCTGCATTTCAGGGGACTCCTCTCTTCACTGTAGTGGGTCAGTGTGCCTCTGAAACTAGATATGGGTCACTGGACTGCCTGCCACTATACAGCCACAACACAGACATGGTGGACCTGTCTAAGACATGGGCCTGAGAGGGAATTCAATGTCAGGAGGTAGTGGGAGGAGGAGCCGGTGCACTCCCATTCAGGAGATACAGATTTAAATAGATGCAAAACTTCAAGAAGTACAGCAATTAGACATGGCTACCTCCGCTGGGACACTCGATTTTTTTTTCTGTTACCTAATTAAAAGCATTTAATGATGATACTTTATCTGGTCCTCAATTTTCTGTCCTATTAAGGTTGTCCTCAAAGGGTTTGTGAGTTCTCCTTTAAATAGGTCGACCCAAGGCTGAAAGTTGGCTGTAATGATATCCAGGTACAGGATTCATAGGATAACTGATTTAAAATAAGACACTATGTGCCGAACAGCAAATACAGCAGGGGGACTAATTCACTCAATGCCGGTGTCTCTGATCTGACAGAGCCATTTAAAATAGACTGTTAGAGTCAGATATGTTTCATCTTTGGAGGCTTGTTCTTTGCACATTTTGTTGATGAAGGCTAAGGATAGGAAGAGAGTGTCCTAATATGTGTTCTCAAACCCAATGTTCTTGTTACACTACATGTAACTTAATGTACATTGTCAAGCAGTCTCAGCGTTTAAGCCTACATGGACAAGAAGATTTTAAAGTGCTCAGATTATTTTTAAATTTGTCTAAATCTGCATCAATTTCAGAACAACTGGTGAGGACGTGAGTGATCTCCAGAACAGCTGTTGAGTGGCCCTTGAGTAGAGATTGTTTTGTCAACTGCAAATGGCATGTGTTGTACCATATATATGCTACATCTATATAGTCTGGCAAAAATAAAAATGCTTTGACTCAAAATCCACTTACTATCTTTTATTGAATCTGTCAACCACATATCACTGTCTTCCTCAGTAGGTGGAGTCTGGAGCATATCTGTCATGGGAGATCGCTCACTTGCCATCATGTGACATACAGTATTTTAAAGTATGGAGCTTCAGTCACATGGTAACAGGTAGTCACACATACTGTATATATACTGGTCATATATTGTATATACTGCATAGCAGCTAAGGAAGACAGTAAGATGCAACTGAAAGCTCTGAAAAAAAAGGGAAGCAGACCTTGAGTCAAGATATTTTTTCTGTCAAACTAGTGTTTCATGTTCAAGAATGAACTTTAATGCTCTACATTTATGTACGTATCATTACATATGTCACACACACATATAGATGTATAGAAATGGCGAATGGAGTGAGAGCAACATATTAACCAATCAGGTAAGAGAGGGAAAAAATGTTAATATTTTAAGGAAAGAATGTTGCAGAACAGACTACAAGAGAAAGAAGAGTAGCCTCTTAGAACCAGTGTAAATAAAAAGATACACTGAAAGATAGAGACCTGGGATATTCTTCCTCTAGGGGGCTCTACACTTGCAAAACGTTTATACCTCGTAATCCGCTGGCTGGATTTGTACGAAATTCGGTTTGTACGATCTCGGGTCACTACTCAGTCGATTATAAAATACGGTAATGCAAAGTGGGCGTGGCTTATTACAAGAAATGTAAATTTCTAGACATTTCTCATACCTAATTTTAAAAAATCTAAGAAATTCATCCATACGTCCTAGAGAGCTGAAATGTTTTCAGCACATCCACTGATTTGTGACTACCGTTTGCCTAACTGCAAGTCAGTCACTCTATATTTTTCAGAATATGCTAATTCAATTAACATCTATGTCTCAACAAGTCTTTCTTCAAACGCTACCAAACTCGACAGATTCATCCTCCAGATGGCCGATATCAAGTGTTTCAAAGGGCTTTCAGATTGGTCAAACGGTGAGTCTGCAGTGATACTCAGTATCTTGATGTAGCTTGTAGGCTACACTATGAACGCCATGGTCTTTTTAACTCTCCTCCTCCTGTCTGACTGGTCCACCAATAGGAGAGAAGTTGACCCCTTGAGACACAGCCCCTCCTCATTTGCATAATGAGGCGGAAATGCATACAGAAATGTAAAAAGACAGGCAGAAATAAATACCATGGGTGAAAATAAATAAGGTAAAAAAAATACAAAGGAAGAATAAAACAGACAAAAATATTAAAACACACACATAAATAAATACATTTAAAAAATAAGTAATTAATAACTAAAGTTGAAGATTATAACGGACAATAAATAAATAAGGTAATTATTACAAAGGTGAATAAGTAAAGACACTAATTAAAATATACATTTATGTCTCCTTGTATAATTTAATTACTACCTACATTTAGTATTTAATTGGATGCTTATTTATTTATTAAGCATTTATTTATTTCTGTATTTATTTCTGAATGTGTCAGGATCAGTCCTCCATATCTCACCAGTAGCTCAGTCATTAAGTCTACTCTGGAGATCAGAAGTTGCAGGATTCAAACCCCCAGCTGGCTGAAGCAGACATGATTGACAATGGAGGTGTTCAGATCATAGTGGGTCTAACTTCTCTATTTTATTTGGATCCCGTGACACTTTATTTTTCTCTGCCTAAAAGTCTTTGTGCAGCTTAAACTTTAAATCTTGGAAAGACAAAATGTCGCAGGTGGGTTGAACATTTCGCCCAGTAGTCAGGTACATAAAATTACACTCTCTGATCTCAAAGTGATGCTGTAAAAATCAAGTTCGCGTTTCCGCAATTATCTCAAAGTCCAAATTCTTTCATCACTTTAATTCCTTAAGTCATCTGCGTCTGTTCTTCTCTGAAAATGTTGAGTTTTTCTCGACTCGCTCGGATCCCGATCATTGGCGCTCGCAGCTGCATTCTTTGATTCGGCTCCATTCACATGTAAATGTGACTTTGACACACAGTAGGCTATATAGAGACAGAACACTGCAGTTTAAGCTTGAGTGATTTACAAGCTATAGGTCGCAACGAGGACGGCGCCCATTCATCTATCAAAGCTACCATAAGCTGCCTGAAATACACCCGGAGATCTCCGGATCGATTACGACCCCTCCCGAACTCATTTAAGATAATGTAAATCATTAAAATACATATGGTAGCAACTTAAATAACAGAAATGTGAAAGAGGCATGATTTGTAATCCACAGCCAAACATAGAACGTAGGCTAGAGCTTTATGGGATGATAAAGAAGACAAAGAATATGACAAACATGAGTATCATCCATCCATCCATCTATAGTTTAGTTGTAACAATTTATCTAAATAATATGGAGGAAGAAGAATGATTTCTTTATTTTTATCTGTAAAGAACGCTTAAAAATAAGGGAAGATGAATAAGAGAAAAAAAAAATGAAAACACAAACACTCAAACCGTTAATTACAACAACAGATTCAACAATTATATAATAATTAGTATTATTAATAATTGTAACAATAGTAACAATAATTAAAAAAAAATTATGTACACAAATAACTTAAGGAACAAATTAACCAAAATAAACTCTTCTTATTCAGGACACCACCTGTTTACCCTGTTGCCCTCTGACAGCTAATAGACCATCAAAGCATGGACCACAAGTGTCTGTATAGTTTCTTTCTCATGGCCATTCATACACTTAACTCCAATAACCATTAAATTACCCTTTGCAATATGCCTGTCTTTCAATTCTGTTCTAAAAAGTGCAATAAAATGTAATCAAATACAATGTTTGATAGATAAAATGAACAAAACAATAATACAGACCTCCACAAATATATAGATGTGAGATATGCCGGCACCTGAAGTGAGAACATCAATCCCTGAGCTGACATTTGCCCAAAACAGGGAACATGAGTACTATCGAACTTTCATCTTAAGAGTACTCTCACATAAATAAGGTACGGATTTACACCATTTCACACCCATCATGAATACAAAAATCTGTTGACCCTGCTGAATTACATTACAACATATACCTGAAACATTTTCCCGAACAGAGAGCAGAGGATACAAGCAGTGAAGACGAAAAAAAACATTCTCAGAAAAAACAAGATGCATCACACACACCAGCATACTTCCAAAAACATTATTCTTCATTTCAGAGACACATATCATTCCTGGAAACTCTATAACGTAAATTTTTAAAACAATGATGAAGAAGAACGCAGAAGAACCAACTTCTGAAATTTACAGATTTTACCACTTAAGGAAGCAGTTAATGACAAAAACTGCAGTGGATGCTTTTGTTCTAACCTACAAGTCAGCTTTTGAATAAGAAGTTTTCTCTGGAGAGTCACGGTATTTGGTTGGAATTACATGTGATAGCTAATACTTACTCTGTGGTGCCATTAAACAAATAAATGAAAGAAAATACTTAAAGATACAAACAACAAGTTTAAGAAGATGGTGGGTTGTCATTTCCTGGCTTTCCCCCCCCCTATAGCCTCGTTCCTCCAGAACAGCCCTCCATTCACCACATGACTGGCTCTCAGACTCTTCACAATACCAGTTCCCAAAGTACTGAAGATGTGATGGTGGCTTTCTCTCTTTGTTGCACTTTCTGCAAAGAATGACATCTGTCATTTTTACATATTTCCTTTTGACAGTTCCAGTGTGCTCCCTCTCCTCTTTCTGTATTGTTGAGTGCTATAAGGAATAGATTGACTGGATGTCTGTGTCTGACTTGATGGTGGCGTGGGTGAAGGTAATGGGAGGTTGAAGAACATCACCTGTGAGGGTCCAGGCACTGTAGGAAGCTGCACAGATGGTAGAATGAAAGGGAAAGAGACGGGTGGTGCTGGTGCAATGACAGGAAGTGCTTGATGTAATGGTGGAGCCTGAGAGATGACCTGAGGTTGCGATCTCCCCTTGAGCGTCACCTCCTTGGCAGTGTTGGCCCTTTCTGCATTGCTGCAGGAAGGTTCTCATGTCCTGCCATGGGTGAGTCTGGTGCTTGGATACCCTGCTTCAGAATATCTTGTTTTTGTGACTTGCAACGCCTGCTGAATCTGGGAAAACAAAACAACCGATATATTTACTTAAGCGATAATACAAAAGATGGTGTGATCAACTTCAACGTGATCACGACTATGATGCAGCAGCATGACACATCTGTGATCACATAGAAATTGATTACACCACTCATGTATTATTTCTTCTGAAAAATGGCAACTTCATTGAGATTAACATTCCATTTGCTGAGCCAGCCATCATGCTAGGAAATATAAATCATGTTATGGATGAAAAGCTAAACCAAACAGTTGAAAACACTGGACAAAATATGCTCCGCATTAAATATCATTCAAAGCAAATACATGTAGGGTTACTCACCACTGTGTGACTGTTGCAGCATTCACCTCTGGGAGCTGGATGGTGGTTTCACTCATCACCTTAGCATTGGTGAGGATGCACTCTCGGATGTGCTTGTAAGTACGTGCTACCATTGTAAAGTGGGACACCCTCACTCCGTCACAGCACACTGCGTTTGGATAGAGAACACAGAGCCTTGTGAAGACGGCCTCTACCACTCTGTTGCAGTCAGGCCACTGTGTAGGACTATGAGCCCCAATGAAAAACCTGAAAATTACAGCAAAAGACATATTATTAATATAAGATTGTTTTTAATGTGTGATCCTTACTGTTTGTGTTATTTGTACTGTCCAATTTATCTTTTTAGTTTTCTGTGGTCTAGACGTTAATTTGTAATATCTGTGCATAGTTATGTTGTATGTTTGTAATTAAATCAGCTACTAAAATTGATTGCACCACAATGACTTTGGGGCAGAACCTCACAAGTTTGGACGTAAAGTCTTAAGTTAGGCTAGTGGCCTTAGCTGGAGCTGGAGATGATATTTCAGCCAGTTTCAGTTATTTAAAATGTTTAGGCAATCAAATTTAACATACCTTTTGGTGCTCTCCACACCTGGTGCCAAAATCTTCTTGGTGGTCCTGAATCGTCCCTGTTTAATGGTGGTCTGGTGACGTGGTGGGTAAATGGTCTTCTTCTTGTAGTACTCCCCCAATGCCTACCACAGGGTTATGATCTTGACACATTCTTCTCCAGTCAAGGCAAGGCGGTGATCTCTGAGGCCAATCAAAAACTCTGCCAAGTCCTATTGTCGGGTCCAACTGAATCCTAAAATAAGATCATTTTAGAACTTTTAGAAGCAATGAATACAATTGATCAAATGAGAGCACAGCCGACATTACCCATATTTTGTTTAATAACAACATGTACATTTAAAAAGGAACTGGGCCCTTACAACATGTGAAGTTGTCTCTTCAGATGTTCTCTTCAGAAGATCCATTTCCACTGACAATTGGTCTACTGGGGCTACATAAAAAAAAAAAAAAAAAAAGTAATTATTAGTTTAAATTTATCTTTACATCTTTGTAAGACAAATACACATTTAGAGTTTATACCTCTATGAATACTTTAGTAAACTCACAGCTGGTTATAGCAGATGTTACAGGTGATGGAGGGACCACAGACGCCGCAGACCCCGATGCTTGAGAGGAGGCAGCAGGTGTTCATTCTGTGTCGAAGGTGGGAACAACGATGTCCTAAAACTCCTCAAGTTCAGCGCAACCTTCATCCACCTCTAAACCAACATATGTGGTCTCGGACTCCTCAATGGCCAACTTGTAGTTCTGTAGAAGTTTGCCGGTTAAAAGGTATTCAACTCTGATAAGCTCGCCTTTAAAGTATAAAACATTGAATATTAGACTATATACACACTCGGGCATTATGTTATAACTCAGAATTAAAATGGTATGTGTACATCTGTGATACTGTCACCAAAAACAACAAATGTAATAGTTATCTACCAGTGTATTTTCTTGGCCCAATGTAAGGGATGATTTTCTTGCCCATAACCTCCTCTCCAAGAGTGTTGACAGCATGACGGAGAAGATGATTGTACGAATTCGGCTGCTGCTCGTCAGTTGTTGCTACCACAGCCCGGTCCTCATTCCACCTTGCAAGTCCAACTATAAGATACGCCTGGAAGAAGGGGTCACTTGCCAGTGTATCTGTAAAGTAATTTCAAATATTTTAAAAACGAAAAAGAACAAAAACATTGAGACATTTCATATAAATAATAATCTTTATTTGTAGAGCACTTTTAAAAAACAAGTTACAAAGTGCTTTAACAAGTGTAAAGACAATAATACAAAAACAATACAAGATAAAAGCAAGAAAACATTGAAAAGACTAAAATACACGTTTAAGATAAATATAAAATAAGTAAAATAGAATAAAATAAAAGGGATAAAATAAAGTCAAATAAGATCGGGAAAGGCTCTCCTATAAAAGTATGTTTTAAGAAGGGACTTAAGATTTCACTAACTCAGTTGACCTGATTTACTCGGCAGTTCCAGAGCCTCGGGGCCCTGACAGCAAACGCTCTGTCCCCTTTAGCTTTCAGTCGAGACTCTGGAACAGACAATAATCCAGGCGTGATGAGATGAAGGCGTGTAAAATGGTCTCGATGTCCTTAAAAGTTAACATAGATAGAATTTTTGCTATATTTCTAAGTTGATAAAAACATGACTGAACAAGCTTTGTGGTGTGCTGCTCGAAATTTAAATTACTATCAAACCAAACACCAAGGTTCTTTGCCACAGGCTTAATGTGATTTACTAGGGAACCAGCAGATGCCAGTATTTGATTTGCCATCTGCTGAGACCCAATGACCAGGATTTCTGTTTTGTCTGAGTTCAGCTGGAGGAAATTATTTGACATCCATCTTTTAACTTCACAAAGGCAGTCGAGAAGTGAACTCAGCATTCCAGGGTCTGTGGATATGACGGGCAAGTATATTTGTGTGTCATCAGCATAAATATGAAAAGAAATACCATGTTTATGGATAATATGTCCAAGGGGAAGCAGATACAAGGAAAACAAAATGGGTCCTAAGACCGACCCCTGAGGCACACCAAATTTAACTGGACAGAACGAAGAGACATAGTTGTTTACAGACACGCAAAACTTCCTATTTGACGAGTAGGATGAAAACCATTCTAGGGCAATACCAGAGATCCCCACCCAGTGCCTCAGTCTGTCTAACATGATGTTGTGATCAATGGTGTCAAAAGCAGCGCTAAGGTCCAGGAGTACCAGGACTGAGCACATACCTTCATCAGCAGACATTAAAAGGTCATTGGTGACTTTAAGCAGGGCAGTCTCAGTGCTGTGGTACTTCCTTAAACCAGACTGAAACTTTTCAAATAATTTGTTATTTTCCAGTACAGTGAGCAGTTGTTTGGACACAATTCTTTCTAGAATCTTTGCAATAAAAGGCAGTTTTGAAATTGGTCTAAAATTTTGTGGGAGGGAGGGATCTAAACCAGGTTTCTTTAAAAGTGGGTTCATGCAAGCTGTTTTAAAATAATCAGGGACACAACCAATAGATAGAGAGTTGTTAAAAACAAATGGGGCCCAACAGAATATATTACTTTCAGTAAAAACTTTGTAGGTATTACATCAAGTGGGCTGGAGGACACTCTCATTTGTGATACTGTTTTTAAAATCTCAGACAAGAATGAATCGATTCAGGTGGAAATGACTAGCGAAGTGGAACCCTTGGAACAGCGGTAGGTTGGCAGACGGTGCCCTCAATTCACCACAGTTCCCCTCTGCATGTAGAGCTGCACACCTGGAGGATCCTGGATTGCAGGCCACATGCTTCCACTGGGACTTCAAGATCTCACTCATCCGGGTTGAGTTTATAAGTGGCACTCACAGAGTGTCACGACCAGCATCTCCATCAAAGACCTGGATATGGCTCTCAATCAGAGCCTGGGTCTCCTCGGTCCCGCGGGTGATTCTCCTGCAATGCAGGGCTAGCTCATTATGGCTGATACAGCGCAGTACATCAGCTTCGGATGATGGTTTCCACATGAAAATACAGTGGCTGAGGCGACTCATAAATGTGGCATACAACTGGTGAGAGTCAGTGGTGCATCCCACAGCAAACCTCCGCATGAAGTGCCATATGTCTAACCGGATGGTCATTTGCTCCCACTCTTCAAACATCCTTCTCAGAAGAGTGTTGCCACAGCAGTCTCGGTCAACATATAGTACATCGGGAGGAGCTACCCCAGGCACTCTGTATCGTTTAATGAGACCATGAATCATAGACCAAAACCTTCACTGGCTGTGAGCACGGACATGATCACCTGTCCATGCTCATTACCAACATTGGTTGCCCAGATAGCGGTGCCATAGCTGCATCCTGCGAGTTTTCTGGCCACTTTTTTTGTGGAATCCATTTTTAAGATCTGACCATATTGTGAAGTGATGGTGGCCTTAATCTCATCCAGCCTCCTTAGCTAGTTAGCTAATTATTTATTAATTTACAACAAACCTATGTAACAGCAGGGTGAGCTAAAATAAAATTTAAAAGTAAAGCAAACTTACCTCGTAGGTTTTACTCTCACTGTTAACTTTATCTTCGTTGTAACGTTAACGTTACTGGTGTTGTGGTGGCAGCCCGGCTGACGGTGAGTGTCCTGGTTTTTCTCCTATTTATCAGTTATTCTGCTTTTTTCCTTGGTTTTCTGTTCCCTGCCTGCCTCCCTGTGTTTTCTCCCCTGTGTGCTCTCTCTCTCCCTCTGCTCCTGAGCCCAGCCAACTACCTGCACCTGCACCTCATCAGCCACCTCGTCAGCCTGCCACACCTGCCAGTAATCAACCACATCCCTGCCTGTATTTCAACCCCGGTTCTCCACACCATCCTCGCTCGATCGTCGTTGCTCTATACCCGGTGCCACCCCCATGTTCAGGCTCTCATGTTTCTAGTTTTTTCTCACATTTTCCCTGTGCCTTGTCTCTGTTATCTCTAACCCTGTCTCTCTGTCTGTTTCCCTCCCAGGTACACTCACCCTCGTCCTCCGTTCAGTCGGCTGGGCTCATCCACCGGCCCTCTCCTCCTCGGACTTCCCCCATGGCGTTCCCCTGCCTCGCCTCGCTTCCTCGGCCCCTGTGTTCCCCGGCTCCCTGGCCCCCAGTCTCCTTGGTTCCCCGTGCCTGTGTTTCCCCGACATCCACCTCTCCCTCCACTCCAGTCCCTCTACCCCTTTTTCCCTCAATAAACCTCCTTCCCTCAGAGTGCTGCGTTTGGGTCCTCTCTGTCCCCACACCACACAACCTCATAACAACTGGACACCTGTTTGTAACAAAGTTCATTTAATTGCTTAACCAGCTTATGTCATTAACAGGCAGGTTTGTTACATATATTAACCTTAAAGTGACTTCAGATTGACAAACTTTAAAATTAGTAACGTTAAAAATCGCTTTATTATTAGCTGGTCCTTAATGTTACCGAACAACAGGTTATTATCTAAAACAACTAACGTAGATATTTGCCACTTTATTTTTAATGACAAGATACAAAAGACTGACTTACTTTCCGAATATTGGTTAGAAGTGAATGAACTGTCGTCCGCTGTCAACTTCGGTATTTTTCATTCGTAAACTGCAAAGTCTCCGGGCTCTCGGAGGCTTGGTGTTGATTGGTCAATTTCTGGTTGTTGCCGGGGCGAATCGTGGTTGCGATACGAGTGCTGAATGGCCTTCGCAAACGATTCTCGGTTGCAGATGAGAACGTGATTGGCTGTCATAACGACTTACAAGCGACAGGGAGCGCCACTAGCCCTGCACTCTGGGACGTGTGAGACCAGCTTGATTCTCACAGCAGTGATTAGGCTCAGACAACTTTTACCACATGTTGGTGGTCCAGTTATAAGGGATACAAACAGAAAAGCTGCTGGAGCCCTGTTGGTTTTGTTCTGATTATTAGGGATACATCTGCGTCTGTTCTTCTCCTCTGAAAATGTTGAGTTTTTCGCAACTCGCTCGGATCCCGATCATTGGCGCTCGCAGCTGTATTCTTTGATTTGGCTCCATTCACATGTAAATGTACTTTGACACACAGTATATAGAGACAGAACATTGCAGTTTAAGCTTGAGAGATTTACAAGCTAAAGTTTACAACAAGCTAGCCAGGTGTCAAACCTAGAATCTTCTAATCTGTAGTCAGACGCATTATCCATTGCATAATCTCTGCATTCATCTGCATCTTTGTTCCAATGGTCTTCTGCTCTAAAAATGTCAAATTATTTGACTTTTTATCTCTTTTCTCTAAAACCTGTTTTTGAGAACTCGTCCCAGACGGTTTCGCCAGTCAACCTGAAACTTTGGCAGGATCATCTATGGACGTCGCTGATCAAAAGTTATCAAAAGAATTTTGATAAGTCAATCTCTTTTTTTCCCCATAAATTTTTACTTTTGTGTATTTACGTACAATTTTACATAAATGCCCGTAAATGAAAATTGACTTTGCTATTGTCACCAAACTTGCGTCTGCTCAGATGCTCAGCCCGAGCTTTGCTGAGTAGTCCTGGGATATTCTTCCACTAGGGGGCGCTACACTTGCAAAACGTTTATACCTTTTTGTACGAAATTCGTAAAATCAAAGTGATGCTGTAAAAATCCAGTTTGCATTTCCGCAATTATCTCAAAGTCCAAATTCTTTCATCACTTTAATCTCTTTAAGTCATCTGTGTCTGTTCTTCTCCTCTAAAAATGTTGCGTTTTTCGCAAATCGCTTGGACCCCAATCATTGCTGCTCGCAGCTACTGTATATTTTTTAATTATAATTGCTGGACCAAAAAAAAAACAGATTGTTGATGTTAAAGACAAATTTCTGTTATAAAGACAAATCTATGGTCAGAGTGAAATAAGTCTATCTCCTATATACTATACAATTCTATACTATAGCACTTATGTCCCTTTAACACTTGTGTCCCTTTCATTAGTGTACAGCAAAACACAATGCAGAGTTATGAATACTAGGATTTAATGACTACACTTAGTGAATAAATATCATCTGCGTGTATAATGAAACATATATACATCATTAACCAACTACATTTGGTAATAAGGTAATATTCAAATAATTAATACAAGGACATGTGAGAACCATCAAAGTTTAATTTCAGAATTTACGGATAAAACCCTCAAAATGATTTCACAGAGTTTCAAAACTGTAAAATAATAATAATAATAATAATGAGAATAATTGAATGGTATCTCACAACATTGCTTCATTATATTCTGACAGCAATAAAAATACACCAGAACATGGTTGAAATAATAACCTAGTTGGCTGCAGGAGCACAGAAAGTAACAAATCTGTTAATACTGTATACACAGGGAAAAAGGGAACGGTCAAACACTGCAAAAGTTAAAAAAAAATGTCCAAGAGGTGACACATCAGAGAAATTTTCATTGTCTGCAGAGTTTATCTTCCAGACACAGAAACACAGCCCCGGCTTATGCTTTACAAGTCTACTCTGCAGCTGGTCTCAGGTCCACGTTGGTCAAAGCAGGAGACAGTTCAGTGGGAGTTGCAGGAGAATGAAGGATTTGATCACAGTCAAAGTTATCAAAGTAGGCCAAAGAGAGGCCTCTCATCGCTTTGACTGCCCAATCAGGATGAGCCCTGAGCTTGAGGATGACATCAACAGGTGTCTTTTGAAGGATGAGAGAGTCAAATGAAGTGCCACGAAAGAAGGCCTGCATCTTGAAACACTCAAGGTTACGGAGCCGGTTCGCTGGATTCTTGCACAAAAGCTGCATTCAATACAGGGGCATTGTAACTGACATGAAAATTCAGAGGGAATAATTGAATCTAATCTAACGGTGTATAAATTAGAAAGAATATACTTTTACAAACCTCATTGAGCAGTAAGATCAAAGCAGAGCTGAACGTCTTAGGTAGGACATAAGGAAAATATCTGACCTTGTTCAACATGGTACTGTGGTCGGGCTCTGCAGGTACTGGAAACTAAGCAAGGTCCAAAAGTAAAAACAATCAGACAGGTGTGCGTTAACCACTATGACCAATAATTCACACAGAATCACATGTGGAGTGACTATATATATGATGTGGCCCTACTTTATGTGGCCTCACCTCTCCCGTCACCAGTGAGAACAACATAATGCCGAGGGACCACCAGTCGGCTGCATGGTTGTATGGACCCCCACTTAAAACTTCAGGAGCTGTACTCAAGAAGATAGATAAACATTAATCAGGAGCAGCTGAACAAAAACCAACAAAGAAAAAGCAATAATATGTGAAGTTTTCCCAGGTGCATCACATTTGTAACTGGGCCAACTGAATACAGCAGGAGCAAAACACAGGTGGGGCTCTGATGTTGCTCTAATGCTGTGAACCAGTATACTGTAACTCAAATAGCCACACATGACACTTTCATTCAAGTGAGAATAGTCTCTCTCCAAATATATAAATAATTTATATATAAATAATTTATAGGAATATTAAAACAAAATCTCACCCATGTATTGGATTGTCCCACATATTGTAAACGCTCTTCCTCCTCGTTTCAGCCGCCGCGAGAGTCCGAAATCAGACAAGCGCAGGTGACCTGAATCAAAACACATGCTGTTACTGATGCACTTCTACACACTGTTTTTTAGACAGTGCCATTGAATGTTTCTGCAAGAGTCTTCAGTTTTTGTATTGCCTATTTTATTTGTCCCATTTCTAGATGCTTTGCAAATGGGCAGCACAATTGTTTTTAAATTTTCAATTGTATTTGCTTTTTTTTTTTTGTGGCTAGACAGACTCCTGAGCTGCACCAATATCCGATTGAAATATGTGTTAGCTTGTGTGTTGGTCTTATTATTGTTGTGGCAGTTTGTCTTTTGTATGATGTCTGCTGTGAGCCGTCAGCCTCTTTTGTTACACACAATTTTGTATGTTGTTTGTATATGGGCGACCAAAGTAGTTTCTCCTCTGATGATTAATGAAGTTAAATAATTGAATCTAATCTAATGACTACAGACTCTGTAGTCAAACATTTAGACAAGCATTACCTCGATCACTCAAAAGAATGTTCTCCATCTGAAAAAGAACAGTATAATTATTATCATAAAAAGTAAAAAAGAAACACATATGTAAATATGTTATATAAGAATGAGTAATACCTTTACATCTCTATGCATGATCCCTAAATCATGTAGGAATCCTAGAAATAACAAACAAAAGACAGAAAGTGACAACATACAAAATAAATACAATATAAGCAGGTCCATGTTTCTCTTTTTAACATACTGTACAGCTCAAGCATGATGTTTGAGTCAATACAAGTCAATGCTAAAGGTCAATATGAAGTGTTAATGGCAAAAGTACAATGAACACTGACCCAGCGCACTCCCCAGCTCTGCAGCAAAGAGCCGAACCTCATCCTCTCCAAACTGGCTCCTCAGTAACCAGTATGTATACAAGTCTCCAACGCTGCAGTAGTCGAACACTGGAGAGAGGACAACACATATATACCTCTCATGTCTTTGAAACCAGCTACTGAGTTAATGCAGGCTGGCATGTTCTGACATAAAATGTCAGAAATGACGAAACGACAAAGAAGAAGGAAGACAAGAAAAGATTTGCTCATCCAATGTTGCTGGGGAAAAGAAGAAGGGAGGAATGAGGTTGAGTCAAATCAAAAACGCACATGCTTCTGTCTTGTTATTCTCCTGTTAGCTGATTTAATACTATTATAAAATCAGATTTAAGTTTTATTTGAGTTTACACTTCTAATACCACTTAAAAAACCTGGGTTTTGAATTGGATACACACATTTCATACATGTTTACATTTCAAAGTAATTTATTCATCATAAATGAAAATCTGTAGTCCTTTCATGTTACACACATATAACTTAACAGATAATTATATGTATATAAGAATAGGGTAACATGTAAACAATAAATAAAATAATATATATACACATGGGCTACATAGATACACTGAAAAGAATCATAGACCCATTTAGTCATGTCAACTTACTTCTTCTTTTTAACTCAAATAGCTCTGACAAGTTTTGGATTTTGAACTCAACTGTATGAGTTTTAGAAAGTTAAACTTGCATTAATTCATTGTGTTGACTATTTGACACTTTTGTCGTGTCGGTTGAAAAAAAAGGCGAGAGTATGAGGATTGCCTAGGTGCTGCGTCTTTTGAGTTTGAGAAAAACATTTACATAATCAACTAATTATTAGGGTTTAGCAAGTACTCGAGTATCCGGTACACTTACTTTCTATGAGTATCATCATAAAGTAAAATGTGTCAATATCTGTTTTGTTATAAACTATAAATATATGAATATAAAAAACTCAATTACTATTCTCTGAAGCTCAATTCTGAGGCTGTTCTGTAAATGGTTTTCTAATAAATATGGCAAGTTCTGATAGAAATTTCAGGCTTAAATAACTTCCAGTTAATACCACCCACTTATAGATTAAGCCCTGCCAATTCTGAGTACAGATACAGAAAATTTGGTGTTCTTGCTCACCCCTGCTAATTATACACTGCAGATAAGTCATATATTCAAATTCCAACCAAAATATAGACTTCTGTGGTAAACAAGACTAGTGCCACCGGTGGAAAGGGTTCCAGACAACGGCCTTAAGGACCTTTCAGAAAGGAGGTGACATCTGCTGCTTTTGAACTTTAACTTACTACCCTGCCCCGTCACAAGTCATTGAAGATAATAGCACAGTGGTGCTGTTCTTGTGGTCTGTCTTCAAGGCCCTTTATAGATGTAAACTGAAACAAATTTGGAATTTAAATCCCTTAACTTGAAATGGAAAGTAGTATTAATTTGGTTAAGTTGCTTTAACTTGAAACTATGAGTTAGAATAACTCAAACTTGTTCATTTACAAGTTGAAACAAAGGCAATCTTCAAGTTGAGTTATCTGAACTTAAAAATGTGAGTTGAAGGGGTGTAGAATTGTATGTTTGTTAGACAAGTGAAAGCGAGTTTCCTTGAATGGACAATGTACACTCACCTAAAGGATTATTAGGAACACCATACTAATACTGTGTTTGACCCCCTTTCGCCTTCAGAACTGCCTTAATTCTACGTGGCATTGATTCAACAAGGTGCTGAAAGCATTCTTTAGAAATGTTGGCCCATATTGATAGGATTGCAGTTGCAGTTGATGGAGATTTGTGGGATGCACATCCAGGGCACGAAGCTCCCGTTCCACCACATCCCAAAGATGCTCTATTGGGTTGAGATCTGGTGACTGTGGGGGCCATTTTAGTATAGTGAACTCATTGTCATGTTCAAGAAACCAATTTGAAATGATTTGAGCTTTGTGACATGGTGCATTATCCTGCTGGAAGTAGCCATCAGAGGATGGGTACATGGTGGCCATAAAGGGATGGACATGGTCAGAAACAATGCTCAGGTAGGCCGTGGCATTTAAACGATGCCCAATTGGCACTAAGGGGCCTAAAGTGTGCCAAGAAAACATCCCCCACACCATTACACCACCACCACCAGCCTGCACAGTGGTAACAAGGCATGATGGATCCATGTTCTCATTCGGTTTACGCCAAATTCTGAGTCTACCATCTGAATGTCTCAACAGAAATCGAGACTCATCAGACCAGGCAACATTTTTCCAGTCTTCAACTGTCCCATTTTGGTGTGCTCTTGCAAATTGTAGCCTCTTATTCCTATTTGTAGTGGAGATGAGTGGTACCCGGTGGGGTCTTCTGCTGTTGTAGCCCATCCGCCTTGTGCGTGTTGTGGCTTCACAAATGCTTTTCTGCATACCTCGGTTGTAACAAGTGGTTATTTCAGTCAAAGTTGCTCTTCTATCATCAACAAGGCATTTTCGCCCACAGGACTGCCACATACTGGATGTTTTTCCCTTTTCATACCATTTTTTGTAAACCCTAGAAATGGTTGTGTGTGAAAATCCCAGTAACTGAGCAGATTGTGAAATACTCAGACCGGCCCGTCTGGCATCAACAACCATGCCACGCTCAAAATTGCTTAAATCACCTTTCTTTCCCATTCTGACATTCAGTTTGGAGTTCAGGAGATTGTCTTGACCAGGACCACACCCCTAAATGCGTTGAAGCACCTGCCATGTGATTGGTTGATTAGATAATTGCATTAATGAGAAATTGAACAGGTGTTCCTAATAATCCTTTAGGTGAGTGTAATATAGATAGTTGTTTTAACTCACAGTATTAAGTTCAAACAACAAATTATCATTAATTAAACAAATTGTATAACGTAACATCATGACTTGAAACAAAGCTTCTTAAAGTTGAGTTTACTCACATTTTTAAGGCAGCAATTGAACTTAAGTTTTTAAGTTGAACCACCTAGATAATTTTTACAGTGTACAAGTAGTGCATTTTTTAATTTGAATTTGCAAACAGCAGTAACAAGATACTGAAGATAATTGGGTTTTCATTTATGATCATGGTTGATAAATCTGGAAACTCATGCAGGAAGTTCAGCATCTGCAGCCACACTGAGCTTTACCCAACACTCTGATTAGATGGCAGTCTACCGCTTCTGTATCCAGTGCTGAGATTTCTACTTTATGTTCCTTTGAGAGAAAGAAAATCCTCAGAAACATAAAAAGGGAAGGATAGTAGCAGGAAAGAGGGTTGAACTGTGCCATCATTTATACTTATTAACTCACTAATGAAGAGGTGGTGCTGCGTCTGCCAGCAGTCCTGCAGATTGTGGATAAATGGGTGTTTGAGTTGCCGCTGCAAAGCAACAGTCGACACACACAGAGTGACAGTGAATATAACAGTGAGAAAATAACAGGGATTTTATTTACTTTTTTTATTTCAGAAGCATGTTTTTTCATATTTGTTGAAATTCTCTTTACATCCCAACAGTAAATCACTAAATCAAATGATCTGACACAAAGATGAAAAAAAAAATTCCATTTCATTAAATGATTGGCTGTCCTACATGTCTGTTTACCTACCTACCTGCCTGTCTACATGCGCATGCTGTGTCCGTGCACTCACTGTACATGAAAATGTGTTTTTGGGGAAGTGGCTTTGGAGGGAGGCCTAAGTGAGGAGGTGGGGTTGTTTTAGTTGGATACTTTTAAAATCTCTGTGTTAGTTATTCACCCACCCCAGCTTTAATGTACTAATTGTTGGAAATTTTATTGTATTTATCTTTTTACTGTGTATACAGTATAAGAACTTCTACTCACTGATACCTTTCCCCCCCAACTAAATATTTTAAACTGTGATACCTGAATGATGACTTCCTCTTTTGACTGCTGCAGCACTCCATGCTTCAAGACCTCTGACTTTGGCAGAACCTATGAAACAATGAAAATAATTACACAAAATTAAATATTTCATGTTCTTATATGATGCTGTTATAGTACTGATTGTTAATGCTGAACTAACCTTAACAGCATAGGTCTTCTCTTTGAAAATGTCCATCACTTTCAAAATGGGTCCATATGAGCCTTTAGCTATGAAGCCCAGGATCTGTGAGCACAGAAGTACAGTTATCTCAATGTTTCCACCACACTTTGTTTTTCAAGTCCTGTGTTGTGGCTCAGAGTACCTGGAAGTGGTCTTGTCCAGGAAACGTACGCTGTGGGAACTCAGGCAGAAAGACGAATGCTGGATGAGTCCTCAATTTCCCCGACGTCTCAGAGGCGTCCTCTGAAGGCAGCAGGTGTTTGGGGACGGGTAATGTATCGTTCAGTCCCACAGGCCGCGAAAATACAACTGAGTGTCCGAGTCTGTGAGTGATGGTGACCCCCATGTTTGAGAGGAACCCATGACTGAGTCGACGCTGAGCAGCTGGTTCCTCTCTCTAGACAATTAAAGATAATCCTATGAGGGGTGGAATATGTAACTAAGTAAATTTACTCAAGTAGGTACACTATTGTCATGCTATTTTATATTCATACACATTTTAAAAGGAAATATACTCAACTACATTCATTTCACAGCTATTGCTACTTAGATGATTTTTAAGTGGTAATGATGTAGTAAAGTTTAACGCATTATATGATGCATTTGTTAAAGATTAAACTAACTAAAAGCATATGCTAAAATGTTCCCCCCTAGCCTGTTTAAATGGTGCATACATGTTAATACATAAGTCACATAATTTAATAATATTTAATACAACAATCTGAAAAGGGTAATTTTGCCGCATAATGTGTATTTTTCGTGATATTTAATGCACACGTTGACTCAATGCAAAACTTTCACTGATGAGTGATCGGCTGATGGCTGACTTGATCAGCTGCAGCTATTTCTGTCAACACCATTAAAATCAAACCAAGCATAACTATTGACCCTCCTGCTGCTGGTGGGAAGGAAGGTCACTGATCACTTCACAGCTAATCAATGTGGCTCTACTTTTGACACTTGGCTTCCCTTTGACGCAGTGGATCGGATTCTTAAGACATCTTCTATCATGTGTTACTCACACTTTGTTGCATTTAAAACACGTTAAAATCGACAACAAGCTTCGCCACAACATGGATTTATTAACAGTTAAGTGCCTTTATTTCAAAAACTCTAAAGTTACTAAAGTAACTTAACTACAGCCTACACTATTAAGAAGAAAACTGTCCAATACACACAATGCGTATTCCGGCAGTTTTGCCAGAGTTCACGTCTACAGCTCGTCAACATCATCCATAATTGCACAAAAATAACTCCAATCTGACGGACTCACCTTACTGTTTTTACTGATTTCGCTGCCCATAAATAAAGCGAAGTATTTCACACAAAAATGAGTAGAAACGCAACAAATTCGTCTCTTCCTCTCGCGTCCTGGTTTGTTTCAGGACCGCACAGTCCTGTCTCGGTCATCACGGTCTTCTATCCACGTGGTTGTGTTTATTTGTCTAAAGAAAGGAGACAGAAGTGTTAGCAGCGTGTGTGCAGAGACCAATCCTCCAGCTCGATTCCGCTCCAGTTCCAGCTGTCAGATTAAAGATCAATCATCACTCGGTTCCCCTAACTTCCTGCGACTCACAGACCTGCCCCTTTACCCTCTGCATAAAAACACAAACGCACCACTGAGAGACTATAACACGTTTTATTGACAGATAAACAATAAGCCACAGAGCTGACAGAAATGTAAATAGGCTACATCTGCTTTAGCGATATGATCCGTTGAATTGAAATGTTCAGGGCGTGTTGTTCTCTGAACAGAAATGTGACTGCAGGCTTAGCAGCACAGTTACGCAAGTAATTCAAGAGAAAAGAACCAGTGGTTACAAAAATATCAAAATATTAACTTTGCATAAGAAAGTGCTTTAGTAATACAAATACAAAACATACACTCAGCGATTAGCTGCAACATATTTGTTTTTTGGCTACAAAACCATCAAACCAAGTGCCACATTATACAACACATTAACATGTTTCTGATGCAGTGATATATTGCACTGGGGTGAGGTACAGTCAAACAGCTAGCTGAGGGATGGACACGCTCATTTAAAGGTAAAATATAAAATAAAATAGCATCTTTTGTGGTCATTTGTGGGAAAAGGCCTTCCTGTCAGCGACAGTCATACAGCCATATACAATTTCTTTAAGCTTTAATTGATAAAACATATCTGATATATTTAGTTATGGCATTTCAAAATCTATTTTTACAGCTGGCAGCATTGAAAGTGCTTTCAATGGAGTCCTATTTGTTCTAGCATACTTTTAACAAGTTTGACATACATTGTTCCTGGGCCAGCAGGAACCGGTGTTCTCAGTCTTGCACTTAGAGAAGCACAGGAAACCATGAAGTGCTAGCTACATACTGAAAATCTTCCTCGCTATATTCAAATGCAACGAAAGTGGTCATTATTTTGAAAGTTGCAGAGTGAATGAAATGCAGAGAGAAATTTTCATGGCACACAAATAAACTAGTTAATATTTATTTTGGTCAAAATGGCACCCTGGTAACCCTGGAGCTGTTTCAGTTCCCCCAGGGATTTTGGCCATAACCGCAAGTCTAAGACACATAAGGAGTATTTAAAAAAAACAAAAAAACAACAACAACTCCAGAATATTACTTTAAATTCAGCAGGCTCGTATGATACAGTTAGGTATCTCCCAAAAGTACTTGAAATGCTCAACAATCTCCCTTTTTCATTGAGATTCACAAAGCCAGACTGATATTCTGACCCCTAAGAGGCAGACTGCTTTTTCCCTGATCCAGATACTGAAGGAGTGTGGCAGCTGCTGCTGTTTGGATCATCTGGCCAAGTTCTGACGTAGTGTGAATGTTGATTGTTAAGTTGCTTCACTTGCGTCGACTGAAAATGCTCTTCTTACTGGAGCTCTTGTCTGCAGTGCTGAGGCCGATGAGGAGCCGTGCCTTCTCATCTTCCTCCTGCTGCTGCAGGCTGTTGTCCGACTTCCCTTCAGATGATTTCCCCCGCATGTCCGAGCCTGAAGCTGGCTTCAGACGCAGCTTCTCCTTTATCATCTGAGTAGCGAGGAGCCAAAAAGGACAAGTTCATAAATACAGAACTTTTCAATGTCTGGGCAAATTTAGGTTGTTTTTGCTCCTAATCATTCTTAGTAATGGTAAATTAATGAAAACAACTGAAAGCACAGTCTGAAATGAAGGATAACTTTAAAAGACAGAAAGAAATCTAATAGATTGATTTTAAATTATGTAGGAGGGCACATTATGTAGTGTGTAATCTTAATTCACATACTAGCCACCATACAGCTAATGTGGGTTTCAAGTAGTGAAGATCTGATTTGGAGTGGAGTCAAAGTCATAAATGTTGTGTACCTGTGCTACAAGTGCTTTCCGGCTGTCCCTCTTAACAGCCATGGCAAAGTCAAGCCACGTCCAGGTGTTGTTATGGTACTCCAAGCAGGGCAGAACCAGGTTCAGGTCTTTCCAGTCCACACTACTCTTTTCTCCCTAAAGAACGTACATTCAACATTAGTTCGACATCTAAAAATACATCAGACTGGACATAAAAAAAAAAAGGATTAAAAGGATTATTTCTGTATTATTAAACCTTGGTGTCAAAATGACTAGTATGTACAAAACATTTTGGAATCTATGCAGTAGATGGCTTGAGCCGGCAGCCACGAACCAGCTGCAGTGGCTTACTCGTAGGGATCCTTTCCATGATGTTGTCAGGCACCTGATATAGTATAGAGAAGAGGTCACTAATAGGCGGACCGCGGTCCGGATCTGGACCCAGCCGCTGTCCTCTCCGGACCGCCGACCTACAGCCGATTTATTATTGAGAATTACTACCTCGTGATGGAGCGTTTCTATTTTACCCCTCGCAGCTTTTGTAGCATTTACTGATGTATTTACTGACATTTTAGACGTTTTGGAAACACACACAAATTGAGGAGACGAAAGGGAAGACTTTTAATCAAGAATGTACAGATTCTTACATGTACATTCTTCCCACGGGCAGTTCAAAAGCAGAATATCTCATAGATCTCCAATGCTAGCTGGCAGGACAAACTAGAGCTCACATTTCTCACTCAACAAGAGAAAGTAGGAAAGAGGTTTATAAGAGGGAATGAAAGAGAAGAGGAGGCATTACAGCTGTTCATGTGTTGAGTGTTTAGACTATTATAAAATTGGTTGAGACTACACTTTTATTAATTTTTTCTAAAAACTAGGCACTTTATTTTAGTTAACTTAAATTTAGAATTTATAATTAGAGTAGTTATTATTTATTATCCCTCCAGTTTGATGTGAAAACTGACTGATTTGACAGTCTGTTGTTGACTAAAAACATATGTTGATACAACTATACGTTATGGTACTGAATGATAATGCAAGTTAGTTGTTTTGATGTTCCGGCCTTTGCTTCTGGAAATTTTCTCTAGCTGGACCTCTTTGAATTCTAATTGAATACCCCTGGTATAGAGTCCGTCTGTGGTAAAAATAAGCACTTTTTGTAATATACAATAAAAAATGTTTGGCCACTTGACATCTTCATCATCTTCATTTTAAATTGATATGGCATCATTCATTTGGACCACTAGTCCAATGTTGACAGTCTTTCAGCTCTGTTTTTGGTCTCCACCAATCACTGTGGGAAACATCTGGCTCTTTAGCAGCTAGTCATTATGCCTCGTGCAGACTACACGACTTTCAGCGTCGTCCGATGGCCATGCTGTTCACACTACACAACTTGCCGTCTTGTGAGGGGAGTCTTGAAGCCATTTTGGCGTTCACACTACGTGACTGATTGGTGACAGGGGGTCACACACTACGCGAGCTGACAAGGACTCCGTCACCCGACGCTGGTCTTCAAACCACGTTTTATCAAGAAAACACATGTAGAATTTGACACGGGAAATGACGCGAACCTACACATGAAACAGCTGTTGTTTGTTATTATAAAGATACCAATTATAAAGAAAGAATATGGGTGAAAGAATGGATTAGCACACGCAGAAAGCAGGGATTGTCTGAGCTACAGAGAGCTGGAGGGGAGAAAAAGTGTTTTGTGGTGAAAAAAGTAGCTGCCTGCTCTGCCAGCTGTTTGCTCTCATTGGCTGGATGTGGATGTCAAGTCGGCCGACTCTTCCAGATATTTGGCATGCTAGATATCTGGCAGACGTTGGCGATGTGTCAGAAATGTGTCGGGGAGCTGTTTCGATGCGTTGTTGTGGAGTTCACATATAACAACTGGCGACCGCCGATCGACCGCTGATTTACCCCCGATCACAGCCCGACGTCGCTGAGCGGCAAATCTGGCTAAAAATCGTGTAGTGTGAACTAGGCTTAACTATGTCTGTGTGTTGTCTGGTGCTGAGCAGGCGGTGTCCAGTTGAGTTATTAGTGTTATCAATGAGTGGTGGTGAGAGTGAACCAGAACATTGGTTGAGGGCTATAAAAACATTAGTTGAGGGATATATTATTGCATCTATTCAAAGCGCCAAGAATCCATGAACATGATGTTTTTCACATTACATTTATTCATTTAACTGACGCTTTTATCCAAAGCAACTTACAATTGCTATAATAAAATGTAAATAAATGTGCTGAAGTGTGTGCGGCAGGGCGACTGGTCCACATCTATTAACTTATGGACGCTTATTTTTATTTCCACAGAATCCCAAGGCAAAGAAAATTCCTGTGCTTCTCATTCAGGGTGATCCAATCTCACATTCCCTGACAGCTACAGTATTTCAGAGGTCTGTCAAGCACCTCTGAAAAGTTCTGAAGGACATTCAAAAGAGTTAGTGGCTTGAATGACACCTCTGAAGACTCTTCATAAGAACTTTGTTGAAGAGGATAATAAAAAATGTAAAAATCATTCAGCGTGGGTATTGAACAAACAAGCCTTAGCCTGAGAGCCCTGTGCTCTACTACTGACAACCACTGTTACATTATCCTGACTAACTTGCCGACCCCTGTATTAGACTATCCTTTTGTTGTCTTGAGATCACAAAAAAAATTATCCCATTATCACGGCAAAATGGAGTAAATAAAATGTTTGAATGGAACACCGCTTACAGCTTCCGTATTTTTGATATCAAGATTTTAAGATTTCAGTCTTACTTCTAATGCTTTTGCTATTCAAACTCATTATCCATAATGATGAACAGGTATTTAATCAAAAATAACAGTCGAGTTGTGGAGCTCAGAAACAGCTGTTATGCACAAGAAACTCACCTTATAGCTGACACAGAGGGGCACTTGGGGAATCTTGATGTAGATGAAGGAGTTGTTCATAGCAGCTCGCTCCTTCATTTTGTCAATGTCATCAACCGGATGCTGCTGGGAGGAAATAAATGCAATTACATTTCTTTATTTTGTTCGTGACATCTCAGCACAAACAACCAAAAAGCATGAATACCTCTGGAGGTTTCCTGAATGACCTCCTGACCCCCGCAGTGCGGTTCAGTCCCTGGGCGACACCTTTGCTGGGGCCCATTGCACCCATGGTGTCCTCTGA